TTATTAGTGCTGTAGTATTCTTCAGCTTTTAGAGAAAAAAATAGAGGAAAAAAACATTGCAGTAGGTAAGGTTGGTAAGGTAAGGTATATAACTTCATAATAAAACCCAGGTGACTTGACTCCTCATCCAAATAATTAGTTACATCAAGTCACTAAGGCCAAATGTAGAATAGAATCAAATGGTCATCCAGCCTTCACAGACTGCAGGGGCTCATTTCTGATCTCACAGTTTATATTATGAGATATTAATATACGTATAATTTTTTCGGGGGTTTTCCGGTCTCCCATTTTACGTAGTAAATTGTGGTCATTATCTTTTGATAGTTAAGGAATTTAACCTCAAATATATTGCCTGCAAATATATTGTCCAGAGAACACAATCTAATATCATCATTTCAAGACTGGGATATGTCATTAACCAAGCGACAGAACATAGCTGGCAATATGCCATTATAAATGTGTGGACCTGAGCTGGCCAAGATATTCTCAGCTCTCCACACACCAATGACAGCTGGGACTTACTGTGCACAGGTGAGCTTGCAGGGGCATCAGTGAGAGAACCAACTGACCCTGTGATTGGTGCTAATTATCCTGTAATGCCGTGCAGAGCTCAGACTGCTTCATGGGTTTTTGATCTCTGAAACCAACCAAACCTCAACATTTCAGATGAAGAGATGCTAAAACGTTGGGAATGCTGCAGGATCCCACGGCTCCAGTGCTACAATACAGTGGTAAGTTCTAGGAGTTTAGGACATGGGGGAAAAATAAACAACAGCACCAATTCTTGGGCTACATGAGTATATCCAAGTGAACTGTGCACACAATTGAGTATTCACAATTTTAAAGACTGTTCATGCAATGTGTAGAGACTGTCAGAATTAAAGAAGTTGTCAGATTCTATTATCCAAAACTTTAAGCATTATCTTTGATCAGTACACTGCATTGCACCTGAAGAACACATACTGTATCTTTACATCCCCTCCAGGACCTACTTGTTAAAAGAGAAATACATAATAGAAAACACACTGTAAATATAGCAGGATGTCCTGCTGTTCTATGCACAAAACTATGTACTAATTTTGCCAAAGTGGAATGTTGCATCAAACGGTGAAGCAAACTATGAGCAAATACCCTCAAGGTTTCTTTGTGGAAAACAGTTTTCTTGGTGGTATTTTGGGGAAATAGCAGCCTGCATTTCACTGGTTGGTTGGATTTCTGTGTCTGTATTATCTTTTCATTGGTGAATTTCATTTGTGGTTTGAGCTGTGGGTCCGGAGTCCAAACAAAAAATGGAAAAGACAAAATGACAAAATCAATGTAATGCACGAGGCTGAAATAACTAATCTGCAGACTGTGAGCTGTAACATTCCAGTAGTCAAAATTACACCCCGGAGTTGTCTCACACTATCACCTATATTTAATGTAAGATTTGAGCTAACCACGTTTTTAATTACAGACTCAATTTTAAATTTCAATTTTTTTTTAATTTGCTTTCGGCTCTTAAAAAAGTTAACTTAAGTTAAAAGAACTTCCATCATTCAACTTATTTTGAGAGTTTGTTTTAAATACTTTTAAGATACACTTTAAATACTAATAAGATGGATGAAATTCAGTTGATTTTTAATAAGGAGGAAATTTCCTGAAATACTTTTGGCCCTGAGAGGAAAGAAGAAACTATAACTTATGTTGCAACAGCAGTGATAATCCATTTTCAATTTCAGTACTGCTCTTCAAAACATTATGAATTACTGAGCCCATGACCCTCCAGGACCAGGAATGAACACCACTGGCTAGTGATTTTTAGATTTGGATTCTGAAGAAAATGGTCTTTGTCATTTTATCTTCAACAAAAATATGTATTTATTATTATTTTTTAATCTATGTCTATTTATTTGATATCTTACTCAATGAAACTTTTATATGAAATCTATCCATTTCCATTTTCTGTTGTTGAATGAAAAGTTTTTATATCTCTTTCTCTAGTGGATTCAAGTTTTAATTATATTTTCACACAAGAGGGATGGTTAGCGGGTGGGGTTCTTAAGTTTGCATGACCCAAATACAGGGGGTCTGTGATCCTGGCACTGATGAGTCACTGTGCTGTAGGTTTTATAGGCTTCCTTAAATGGTCAATGTACAGAGAGCTGAACAAATACTGGTCTTAATTAAGAAAGATAATGATCTAATTAAGTCAAGCTCAGCTGGAGGGAAAAGAACAAAGGAGCAAAAATGTAATCTACATGTATCTAACATTGATACTGAGCTAGCAACAATTATTCTTTCATGGTAACAAAAAACACTAATTCAACAAAAAAACTTAAATTTGTTAGTATTGATCACTGTACATCTGCGTTAAGACAGTCATAAACAGTGTCGATGACCTTTGTAGACATATCTTTGAATATTCTTCTCCTGCCAGATAATGCCATGCTTTTAAAAATAATGGGCTAAATAGTTTCGACTTAAAAACTCATGTAACCTTTATATAAGTGTGGCTTTGTCATCTGCTTTGTACAGAATAGGCCTTCATTTGATCTACAACATAAAACAGCTGGAGTTTTACTCTTGGCACACCTGCTATTAATTTGCTCTACAAATCTTAGAATACTCTAATTTACTTGTAAATAACTAATACCTTAAAATTCCAATGCAAATACTCACATTATACCCAAGTTTAATACTGTATCTTATATACATGTACTGTATAAATGACTTGAAAAAAAGGATTAAAACGTGTTTTTATAAAAATAAAATGTTAAAATATTCTGAGAACCAATTAGAGTATATCTGTCCAAAGGTATGTAGAAGTGAAATCAGTTTAGAAATACAGTGAATCTTACTTAGTAACTTGAATACAGGGCCCAGTATAGAAATAAACACATTTCTGCTCAAAGACGTGCATGCTGTGCTTGGCTTATTCTCATTCCTTTACATCGACTGTATTTCACTCTGCTGCGAAGGTTCAGCTAAGACACTTAAGACATGAGAGGATGTGATACAGTACATACTGTATGATACATAACATTGGGATACTGGGTAATTAGGCTTGGGATCTGTTTATTCCCTATGATTGTCTAATTTGGGTGAATTAGAAACAATGTATACACATTTTTGAAAGTGGATATTTATAATCAACATGTGATTGCTCAAACCAAATGATTCGGTGGGTGACAGAAGTTGCTTTTTGCATACCTAAATTAGTTCAGGTGCACAAAATCACTTTGAATAAGTCACATAATTAGATGAATGGTCTCTTTCAGTGTGCGATAATCATGGTTCACCTGATTTTAGATTAAATACTCCTGTTAGGGCGGTCCCTCAGTTAGGTAGTGAATTTCAAGTACTGGATTGAAGACCAAGGAGCTTACAAAATAGCTGAAGAACAAAGATGTGTACAAACACATAGATTAGAAGGGCATAAATGTTTCTTTGAGTCTAGTTAAATTGATCATTGATCACTGCGTATCATCTAGGCACTCCCCAGATCAGGCTCTCTCTCCAAACTGGGCAGTCTGGTAAGGAGGAAAATACAAGCAATCTACAGTATGGCAACCAAGGATTGAAGAAGCACAACAACCCCCCATTGACTTAGACACAGAGAAAGGAACGCCAGCTTTAAAACCTAGCAGGAATTGTTCTTTCTTCCAAGCCTGCATGAAAATGTTAACTTGCAATAAGCACAGTAAAATTCTAGAACTGTTTTGAGGAAATAAGATAATGATTATTTCTAGTTCAGGTGGGTAGCTGCATCTTTATGTGTAGGCTGCAAGGGAACAATAGGTTCATTCCATGCTTTAAAGAGAAGAAAGAAAGCAACGTTTCGGCCGTGGAGCCTTCTCAAGGTGTGAGCATTGATTATTTCTGATATGTTTTTTTTTTGTAATGGTAGAATAATCACATTATTCATAAAATTGGGCAATCTTAATTACATACCATTACCCTAATAAACCATTGTGTAAATGGCAAAATACCCCAGATTCTACTCACATTAGATGGAACCATGTTTATTAGGGCTCCATTCTTTCCACACTGAAAATACAGGTTCCTGAAGTACAAGCCATTTAAGGAGCACAAAGTTGTGCTGGGTTCTAACAGAAAAACACCTCATCCTTCTTAAAGTGTTTGAAACCGGTAACATGTTTTATCATTTTTGTTCTTTTACTCCATGTACCCAAAAATCAATTGTATAAATGTTTCAGCACGATATGAACCTTCATCAGGATATAAAAATGCATATAAAGATTTATATAGTATTATGATACGGTAGGGTGAGACTAATTTAGGGTGAGACTCATTTGTGGAAAAGATTATTAAAACCAGAAATGTTTTAAAGCACCTACTGTATTTATTTGTTTAACTTTAGATTTTTGTGATTTGTTAATTATATTATATCATTGTGTATTATCATGACTTTATTATCATGTATTATTATGTATTATCATGTCTGTGACTTTCACAGACCTGTAATTTAATTTGGATGTTTTTACATGTTTAAAGTACGCGATTAAATATATTATCTCCTCTTGGACTAAAATAAAAATCAATCAATACCATAAAATACCTTTAGCAACTACTGTAGAGGTTCATCAAAATTCATTCTGTTATGGTGTAACTAAATTCTGCTTCAAACAAGTGACTGGATTTTCTTCATGCCCAGACATTTAAAAATAATTTATAAATATAACAATTATAGAATTGGAATGATTATTCTCAAATAATCTGGTTGGGAGGGGTCCCCAATTTCAAGACATTATTCTCAATAAGGACCCCAATATAAACAAAACATGTTGTACATTTTTATGAATAATGATACCATTTAGAACGAAAAAATCCAAGTGAAGTTGCACATCCCCTGTACATCCTGTCAAAGAAGAGCTTCTTTATGAGATGATGTTGGTTTTCCACACTTTTAAAAACTGGGAGTGAAACACGGATAGTCCCTGAGGATCCCCAGGGATTCCTGGATCCCCGGCTGGAAAAACATTGTAATATTACTGGACATTTCTGGATTACTTTACTTATTGATCAAAAAGTTTTCATTTCTTTCTGTTGTGCTAATCTTCTGCTCAGTGTACATACAACAAGCTCTCTCTTCAGTGGCTGTGAACTCATCTGTCATCCCAGGGAAGAGATAAGTCATTCCATTTATTGGTGTAAGTGACTGCACAATATACAGCACATTGTAAATGCGATATCAACACACAGTAAATACACAAAAACACAACTGAAATTATGTCATTATAAGCTGATGGTTTTTTTTTTCTTCTGCGTACATTACAATGCCTACATACAGTAAATGTGCATTTTGCCTTATAAATCTATTGCCAATAGAGCAGCAGCAAAACAAATGTCATAATAAGCCCTGCAATGTGGAAGATAAAAATCAGCATTTAACTTCACTTTCCCTTAGGGAGAATTGGTCATTTTCCAACCAGCTCAAGTACTTGAAAGAATCAGTACTTCAGTAAAATCTTCAACTTAAAGGTAGCAAATGTTGTTTTTGTTGCAATACTGTACATTCCTCTAGAGCAGTGGTGCCCAAGCCTGGTCCTGGTGACCCACACACCTGCTGCTTTTCATTCGCTCCCATCGTCTTTAGATCATTGAAGCCTTACTTGATCTAAGAAGGTGCTAAAAATGAATGTTTGCATTTTGTTTCAAGTCACAAGTTTGGGATTTTATTTCACTTGCAAATTTCAACTTCAAATTCCAACCTCTCCAAGAGCTGGGAACAAGCAGTTCAAATGAAACTTTTTATTCAGGCTATGAAGTATATGATTGTGTCACTGAGGGCTCGGCTGGAACAGAAACCTGACAGCTGTGTTGGTCACCGGGACCAGGAGTGGGAACCACTGCCCAAGAGGAACATTTCACCCGTAGAAATAAGGCACAAAAATGGAAATGCAAAATACAGACAACACCTCAGTCCATAAAATATGCAAGCATATATTTTTCAGCACCATACGTTGTGTAATTACAGTTTTTGTTACCTGTAGGAGACCCAAGCCTCAGGCTTTTCCTTTAATGGTTTTGGTGGAAACACGTCTACGAAACGAGTGCCTCATCCACTTGCGTTTCAAGAAGCCGTTTAATTTCAAGGCAAAACTTCGTTTCGTCGAGGGAGTGTGCAAGAGCTTCCCTGACTTCATGACGACACCCACAGAAGAGACAGATCGGTGCCCCGTTCATGAGTTATCTGGTTGATCCTGCCGCGGGTGCAGTCCAGGGTGATGTAAATCATCGTGCCATTCCGAACGCCGAAGGACGCGCGGAGACTGACGCTCGACCACTCGCTCCCCTCGGGCATCTGCCCCCCGATCTGCTGCGCGAGAGGCCGGGGCTGCACCTGGTCGCTCAGCTGGCGATGGAGCGTGAGCTTGACGACGTTGCAGGAGTGGATCATCTTTAAGTGGAAGGTCAGGCTGGCCACCCCACTCGCCCTGAAAACGAAATATTTCCGGGCGAACTGCCCAGAAGCGATGAGCTGAACCTGTTCCTCGTTGGGCGTGACCTGCTGGAAGCACAGCACTTTGTTCCTAACCGCACCTGTCGGCAATCCGGCTCTGCAGACAGTCGCGGAAAGGGCCGTGGAGACTGCAGATGGAATCCATATGAGGCTCAGCGTGCTGATGCCAGAGTTGTCGCCAAAGTATCTGATATTACAATGCGCGGGGGAAAGGATTTCAAAGCTGAGCGTGTCCCCGCCGCTGACCTTCGCTGCTCCCGACAAGGAGATCGACGTGTCTCTGTAGTTCACTCCAGGTTTGAACACTTGCATTAGCTCGCTGTTGGTCCCATTCCTGTTCAGATAAGAAACCAAGGAGAAACCTTCCCGGACACAGCTGTGACCCATGGAGTACAGCGCCTGTTGGAAAACGAACTTCACCACCCCGCTCTCGGTGAACCGCACCGCCCTGCTGTCGTGTGACAGGCTGATCATGTAGGTGTCCGAAACTGAAATCACTCTGAAGGCGGGCCGGTAGTTGGTCTGATACTGCACTGACATCGCCATCTGTGCTATCATTGCAACCGCGCCTGTGTCATGAGACAGCCAAAGCATACTGAAGGGTGTGTTGAGATCGTACACATGCAGGTCCTTGCTCTGATTGCAGTACTGGTTGGGGCTTTTCAGAAACAGCGACAGCGTGTAGTTGGGCTCCACTTCAGCTGTGCTGCTGACGCTGACGCTCTGAAAGGGCTTGCCGTCGGGTTGCTCAATCCGGACGCCGCTGAGGTCGAACCCTTCCTCGCTGTTATTCAGCCTCATGGAGAGCTGGAGGAAGTTCCTGCAGCTGTGCTTGAGCGCGAAGTTGTGATCCGCCCATATGAGCCCGTGCTGTTGAAATATCAGTCTGCCGTCTTCACTGGAAACGAAGTCAGTCTGCTCTTGGCCCTCAATGTCCAGGTACAGGCCTGGGAAGATGCGGCTGGGTGTGGACTGGGCCGAAGGCACGGCGACCAGTGCGGACCAGGAGTCGGAAAGCTTGTTCTCGGACAGCGTAGTGCACACCGTGTCGCTCACCGCGGAACAGGGAAAGGCCACTGCTTGTCCTTCACAGTCTGCACATGCCTGACATTCCTGAAGGTCCCTGTTGAAGAAGTGGGCATGTCCGCACACTCCAGCGACAGCTTCTCTGTCAGAGGTGCCGAGGCACCTGAATCCACCTGCGTAATGAATGTAGGGCTCAATAAGACTGAAAAGACAGCATTGGTTCAGTCTTTTCAAATTTTTCTTTTCCCAACAAACTAATTAATACAGTCCTAAAATTGTTTTTTTTAAATAATATGTACTACTAGATATATAGAAATCTGTACTTTACCCCAGCTGTAAGGTTCCTCCAAATAAATGTGTCATAATGGTTAAAAAATTAATAAAAGTGAAGTATAAATATACATTTAAAGGACTGAAAAGTACAATGAATTAATGTGGTGATAAATGATTTTTCACATACACTTACCTGGAGTGTTTAGACATTTGACTCGCTCTCCACACAAGTTTGGCAATTCAAGGCATTCGTCTCTGTCCTAAACAAAATGAGAAATATACTTTCATCAAACTAGGAATTAAGTTGATTTTTTCCCCAAGAACCTTATCCAGTGTTGCTTTTCTATTTTATTCAGCTTAACAATAAAAGGATTTTCTCTAAAAAGGTTTTCAAGTAATTTTCACTTCCTTATTACAAACCCTTTGAAAACATCCCTCATAAAGGTGCTGGTTTTGCTGTTTTGCCTGTCTCTTCTTTATCTCAGTCAGATAAATAGTAGCCTCTATGTTAGAGAATCTTGATGCAGTTTGTGAACATCTTTTAATACAAAGAACTGTAAAGCAATTTGTAAACACAAAAATGAGGTGCTCATTCAGCAATCCTGTGCAGAAATAACTTAAATAGTAAAAAGCAGGTGAATGTTTTGTTTTTTACCAGCACAATATACAGTACAAAAAACCCAGAGTCTGTGAATATCTGCTTAGCATTCTTGAAGAATATGTTCAAAAGATTATTGTGTAAAAATAATTTGTAAACAGTAAAGAAGCCATCTCTTCTTTTGAAATAGTTATTGTACAGAGCTTCAGAGCTGATAAAATGGATTACCTGGCAAACCCGGTCAGCATTCAAGGAGCAGTCAGACACTAAGAAGAAGCCAGGTGGGCACATGGTGCATTTCTCACACTGGGGGGGGTTGCTCTGAAAGTTGCAGTACTCTTCTGCTCCGCAAGCACCACACTCTAGCACAGATGTTCCCACGTCGATGACTTTGGCGTCAACTTCGACCTTGTGCACAGCATAGGACTTCTGGAGGTGGTTCCTGACCTGATTTTGAAGTCCCTGGAGGTGGCTTTCAAAATAGCTCTGGATGTCTTCCTGCAGGCTCTGGAAAGACATCTGCTTGACCGCCTCGAAGAGCATGCTGTACTGCACCTTCACGAGATCCATCTGCTCGTACATTTTCCTCTGCTGCTCCAGGATTTCCCTTTGCTGGCTGAGAAGTGCGCTCTGCTGATGAGTAAGTCTCTGCTGCAAGTCTGCGAGCACCTTTTGCTGGCTTTTTAAGGCTTCTACAAACTTCTCCTGCCCTTTGGCCAGTTGCAGCTGGAGAATGAGAGCGTCTTCTGAGGGAACCTCATTCTCTCCTGCAACATTGCAAAAAAGGATAAAGTGATCATCGCTCAATGCATCAACCTGTAATACATTCGAACTCAGGCTACAGCTAGTAAGTCTGAAATGCGAGGAGAGTACATTTTCACATCTGAGATTTATCTTCTGTTTTTTCCTGGGGTAGATTCATCCAGTGCCACAGTCTATAATGAAATGTCACGGGTCAGTGAACAGGAATAAAGGTAATAGTTTCCAAGGACATTCATCTTTACATTTTTACTGGATCAAACTAGCATGAAACTGACGTGATTTATAATAGAATTGCTTGGCCAAGAAACATACTATTGTCTGTGTCTGTAGGATCATGAAATCCATTTATTATTTTTTTTAAAACGACCAATGCACTTGCACTTGTTTAGATGTTTGGCCCATTTTTGTTGATTTTAGTGTTAAAACATACAGTATGTTGATAATAACCGAAAACAAATTAAAACTGTTTAACAGATCTTTTTTACATAATGAGGGAGAAAATGTATTATCCATTTGCACTTTAAATGTGATCTTTACAAGCAGGAAACCAATGAATGATATTGTTTTATGTTTTTCTTTTAAAACCCAGTAATTAAGCAGACTTCGAAACACAAATATCCCAGATGCCTTTTCTTTCAAGAATTGTCATTAAATGAAACTGTTTGTGGTGTGCATGTTCTTCATGCATCATGACTGCTAGGCTCCAGGCATGTGTTACCTGTTATTTTTGTCCACTTCAGCTGCAGTACATATTGAACGCCGAATATCCTAGCAGAAAAATGATGACGTCCCTGCTTGCAGAAGTTGTTTCATGTATAGTTCAAAGATGCTGTTTTTGGGCATGTAATCAAAGAAAATACTGTCATGTGCATATGTTAGCAATCTATTTTTTGGACTAGGATAGTACTTGAGAAATATTCTTTTATTATTTCATAGCAAGACGTATATAGTCCAGATGAAAATATTGCCATGTGTTTCAATTCACAATACTAACACGACCAAAATGTGAATTCCATTATATTTAATTAGTGTTTATTTACCATAAGCAGAGATGCCTTTTTTGCTCTTTAAGGGCATACAAACGTAGCCTGGCACTCCTTAACAATGAATTCACGCAAGATATTTAAATAATAACACACGTTTCACGAAAATGTTTCCACTAAAAAATATATATATACTTTACCAATTCTTTTCCAAGCACTTCAAACCGTGCTACCCAGTTTTTATTATTGTAACATTTAGGTAAGGTAACACTCATGACGAATTGTTTTAAGTCATTTAGGTAAGGTAACTTGCTTTAAATTTCGAAGTTTGTGAAAACAACTCCTTCTTACTCCTTTCACGTCTCTCATAACACTGCAGTAAAGCATTAAAGTTCATTGAAGAAATACATTAAAAACTAAACGGCTTTGCAAGTACAAATATCGTTCTCATTTTAAATGGAGATATTCTACATCTCCCTGCACTTCTCTGCACTAGATAAGATCAGTCATTAATCTAAACCATCATATTTACACAGTGGTTCAGGTGGGTAACTGTGGCAGCATGCTTAGGCTGCAATGGAACATGTAATAGGTTTATCCCATGCTGAAAAGAGAAGAAAGAAAACAACGTTTCGGTTGTGGAGCGTTCTTCCACAGCCGAAACGTTGTGTTTTCTTTCTTCTCTTTTCGGCATGGAATAAACCTATTACTTGTTCCTTATGTATACAGTATGTGGCTATATCTCCGTGAACTGAAATCCAAATTGAAAAGCGTATCTAATTAACCTGGTTTAATATCGCACGTGAGCTGAACACCCAGGGGAGCTCCTCCAAATTCCGACGGAGGATATCCGAAGTCAGTGAACTCCCCGAGAAACTGGGCAGCCCTGTCCGCGATGTGCACCGGACTGGGCTGGCCGTGGGCATCACCGGGACAACTTTCGCCCACGCACTGGTGCGCTTTAGTAGGTCGGGGCTTCAGCCGCATCCTCACGGGTAGTTTACATTCAATCCCCTTGCACTCCCGGGTGTCGTTGCTGGTTGGCCAAGCCGGGGAGACGCAGTCCGTGCCCGTGCATCCTGAACTGCCGTCCGCGGCCCCGCTCCTCGTCTTCTCGCTGCCTCCACGTGGCGAGTGGGGAATGGTGTTGGGACCCGCAGTCGTCCTTGACGGGAAGAGTGGATGGGCGCCGTGCAGGGCTGGGACAGGCTGTGCCGACCTGCCTTGCGTTGCCGATCCGTACGGCCGAGGTCTTAATCGCCCCGAGCAGTGAGTCCCGGAACAGGGTCTGGCGTTTTCGGTCTCCGCGCCGTAACAGTGAGCCCCCCTGCATATCTCAGCGACATTTTCCACATTCCCAGGTAGTAATACTGTGCACAGCATAAGAAAAAGTGGGGCTTTGGAAATAGTCATATTCTGTTTCCTTTTTTTATTTTCTGAAATGTAATACGACAGAAGAGTTAAACATCCCCTTAAAAGTAATATAACAAGTACGTTAATCGTTCACTATTCCTATGGCCATTAAAACAATGACAATCTTATTACAATATCAATTTTGTTTTTAAAGTTAAGCTTGAAAGAACGCCTTATATTATGAAATCCACACGAAATCTGAAAATCTAGTTTGACATCCATAAAGTAAACCTTTATCAGACACAGACCATGAATATTTTTTTCTACACTTAATAGTTTTGTAGAACAAGTACCGATAACAACACCAGCAAATTATATGAAAGTATACATTAGTCAAATACTTTAAAAATATACGGAACACACCACCGCTTCAATTTCATCTACGAAACTACAGTACCAGACTACCCTGTCTTTCAATACCTGCTTCATATCATACAACATTGCGTTACAGTCATACCCAATTCCAAACATCTTGATTCCAGTTCTGATCCACATTCCGTAGCTATGAATGATCTTAGGACGAGGGGGGAATGGTGTGATATTTAAAGAGAGTAAAGGAAAATTACCTGGAAGTCCTTAATTGCTGCCCTGCCTGTGGTCGGCAAATATTTACAAAATTAGACGACTGGGTTACTTTTCCCCAGTTACCGTTTCTGACCTCCACGGAAGAGATTTGAAGAGCTCCACAGTATGTGGAATTCCTTAGACTTAATTAGCATCAGGTTTCCCCCTGCCTCTTATTAACTCTTTGCTGGCTACTGTTACTCCTTACAGTCGTTTCAGAATTGTGTACTGAAAAGAAATTGGTCTGTTACGAATGCATTATTATCTTATTGTCACGGGTTTCCTTCTTAATCAAATATTTTTTTTAAAAGAAGGAAGTTTTATCATAAGTGTTCTTAAATTAAGACATAAATAGTTCTATTATATAGCTCCTACTGCCAGTAGATGAGACATGAATTCACACAAATTTATCACAAACGGTTTGTTTACGATGGATCTAAATGGATTAATGTCTCATCTACTGGGGGTATAGGTAGCCACAGCTTAAATAAGTAGATGTGGGGTTCTAGTAGTCTCTGAAAAGAATAGTAATATATAAACTACAAATTTCATTCAGCTTTATTGCGTGGACAAGAAAAATAGAATTTTCAAAGCCTGGTAAATGATTTCATGAGGACAGAATTATGTTGCAAAAACCAAACATAAACTCCTACTACTAATGTGGACATGTTTGGTGAAAACTGGAGCAAAGAAAAATAATCAGAGTTTACAGTGTATTTGTGTTTTCAGAACTAATTTGTTGGATGATTTTGGAAATATCAACAGATTAAGGCAAAACCAAAAATCTGTTTCCTTTCCTGCACTGCTGAATTGATTGGATTCTTCACATCAGCTGACAGCTAGGCTACAGAAGTTATTGTTAAGAACAGTGAGACTGTTGATACAGCTGCTGCCTTTGTAGCTGTGCCTGACAACCAGGCCATAGTAATGTATGTCTTTCTTACTGCAAACTTAGGGAATCGTAAAGCATCTTTAAGAGCATCAAAAATAAAATTACACATTCCTGATATCTGCGTTCTGTAAGGAAAGTGAATAAATGCTGTTGTTTTTTTTTCATCTGAACAACAAAAACACAATGACAATTTCGACACACAGAAAAGTAAAATTCAAAACCTTGGTGGTGTTCTAGCAGAATTCTCACTTCAGCTTTCCAAGACACTGGACAGCTCTACAAAAACATGCCTGAAGGTTACTTGCACTAAGTCTGAAACAAATGAACAGCTAGATTCTATTAAGGCAATAATAATATTATTATCCCCTAAAATTATTCTGCAGTTAGGATCACACATTCTCCCTTCCCTTAACGACAGATTACTGTTCTTTTAAATTTTCTCCATTCATTGGAAGTTTCATTTCACACCTCTCTGCACCCATTCTGACTTCACACCTCTTGATTGGCCTCTCTTTCTGTCCCCTGCTCCTGCCTCTCACTCCTCCTCCCTCCCAACCTTTGTTCTCCCGCTACTTTACCTTTGCCTACTGCCCTGTCTCTCTCACACCTGAAGAAGGCTCCACGGCCGAAACGTTGTGTTCTCTTTCTTCTTCTTTTTTTCAGCATGGAATAAACCTATTACTTGTTCCTTTGCAGCCTACGCATGCTGACGCAGCTACCCACCTCAACATTGTACATAGTTAAAGGTTTCCCCATCATTTGTTTCCACCCACTGTTCCCTTGAAATGTGATATCCCGGACTGCTTTATGGTGTTCAGTTATCCCACAGTGCACTGGATCTGAAGAAACATCTTTTTCTTTGAAAAATCCTTTAAAGGTATTTATGTGTGAAAAAAAATTCAAATAGCTATTTTTTAATACATAGACTTCAATGGAAAAATCTTATTCTCCGTTGCTGCGGGGTTGAGTGATCTTGACATTTTGCAGATAACATTTCAAGTGAGAAAACATGTTTGACATTCAGAAACCATAAAATAACATTTTGCGATCTGATGCCAGTGGATATAAATCTAATAAATAACTGAGAGTTATGGTGTGACAATACATAGTGTTTCCATTATTTTCATTTTATAAGGAAAAACATTACATTTATCTATATTTTTGAGGCGATACAGAACATCAGATTATGAGCAAAAATACATATAAACATACCTATATAGAAAATACATATTTCCTTTGCCATCATGGTCAATCCTCTGAAGGCGATTTTTAATTTGCACTCTGATATCTCGTCTCTGTCAAATGAGGCGTTCTATTCAGAAAATAATCACTGGCAATCTGCAAATCTGGCAAATCTGGTGCTATTTTAAAACCACACTTTTGTTCAGACACAAGGTATCCAAGAATTTTGGACAGTTTGCATTTTCAGTTATGCTGAACATACGATTTCCTTTCTATTCCTATAACCACAATGTGCTGATTGTGTTTATCTTTCATACCAATTTTATAGAATAATTGAAGTGAAGCGCAACTGAAAGAGGAACAATTACAAAATCATCAACTGCTTCTCCTCCGGTAAAAACCTCCTGTAAGAAGCAGGACAGATCTCCTAATATTTATCATGATGAAGGGGAATATACACCAGAACAGAAAATAAAGTGCATTGGATGAAAGTCACAAGCTTTTCATCCATCTGCAAACTATACAAACACTAACAGATATCAGGTATCTTACTGTATATTGTATAAGATTTAAAAAATCAAAGACTGCACACAGTATACAAACAATACGCAAGGAGAAATTGTCTAGACAATAAAATGCAGAAGAAGAATCTATTTATTGCGTTATATGGCAATGAATCATAAATTCATTGCCATAGATTAATACATTTTGTAACAGCACTGGTTTAGAAACTTTGTGTTAAATTTAGGGTTCAATTAAAAATTCCCATTCTCACTCAGCTTTGACCATGAATAATAACGATGTGCAAAATCTGCCTCCAAGTCAGAACGCTTTTACAAATTACAAGCCAGCACGCCTCAGTGTGCAGCACGAAAAACAACAACAGGAAGTGCTAAGCATGCAGAGACCAACTCCCAGAAGCCTTGTATACCACCCTTTCAGAGAACTTTAGACTTCAAATGAATCTGCTGAAAACAGTTTTGAAAACAAAATTCCACAATTAAAAACACATTGTGTTTTGCTGTATTTCTAATCCAAATGTTCTGAATGTGTGGCCTTTTCATGCTTGAAGAGAAACTGTATTCCAATTTTTTTTAAAATTTCACCAGGAATAACACCACCCAAGAATTAAGAGCACTAAAAGGATTATGGAGGGTTTAGTGAAAAGGATGAGGAGGCCGGGACCCCCCTGCAGACAGGGGAGTGACCAGGAGTGACCAAGGGGCAGCTGCAGGGGTGGAGATGGAGTGGGGTGGGATGGAGAAAGACGCAGGGAGAGAAGGGGATCATGTACAGTATTTATAGTGTTTAGGAGAGGGAGTGACATCAGGAGTGATTGCTAGCTACTGACAGCCAAGTCTGATTGAACCTGGGTGTTGTCCTCCCTCCCGAACTTTCTCTACAAACTCCATTTTGTGAGATGGAAACGTCTGTTTTACGAAAGACCTTAGAGGTTTCCAGTATAATGCGATGGGTCCTATTGCTTGCTTTACACATTGAAAAGCACATACTGTACATTAAGAGAGAAAACTAACTGAATTGTTATTGACACTATCTGGTAATAATAAAGAGACAGAACAACAGAATTGCAGGGTTTTTATTCTTGATTTTTTTTCATTTTTGTATTGAAGTTTGTAAGCAAAATGACAGTGGATTTTAATTTTTATAATGTGACTTCTAGTCTAGCTTAAAAAAACTTGTTTCTGTGATGTTCTTTGCACTTTTGTTACTATAACGAGTTGTGGCTTTAAATGTTTTGGCCACTTCAACTTAGGATGGATCAGCAAGAAAGGGTTTCTTAATGTTTCAGCATCAAAATGAATAGTTTTCATTAGTGAGACACATTTTCTGTTGTTATTTTCTAAATGAGCACGCACTATATACGGGTGCAATCACTTCCTGATGATCAACTTATCATTTGTTTTGGTGCGCCTGATTCTGCATACCGTCTTAACTGAGATGGTAGACCTAAGGGTGCACTTACTTTTTACACTGGCTGATTTTTAATGACAAAGGACAATTTGCATTTTATTTGTCAGATGAGGTTAGCTTGATCTACTACTGGGACTTGGTGAGGAGTAGATGAAGATCAAATATCTCTAAATGTGTTAAAATTTAAAATCCTAGATGGTGTATTTACAGTACTTCTTCACTACACTGTAAGTTACAGTAAATATCAGCAACAACTTAATAGAAAAAAATGAAATGTATTGTTTGTATAAGTATTCAGACCTGCATACTTTATATTTGGTGGAAGCATCTTTGGTAGCAGTTACAGCCACACGTCTTTTTCAGCAAGTCTCTAAAAACCCTCTAAACTCTCTTAGATCTCTAAAATCAAGTCTTTCCACAACTTTCCTACAGGGTTCAATTCAGGACTTTGATTGGGCCACTCAAGAATAGTCACTTCCTTATTCTCAAGCCAATCCAATGCAGCTCTGGCCTTGTGGGTTGGATCATCATCCAGCTGAAAGGTGAGTTTTTGTTCCAGTTTTAGGTCTGAAACAGGTTTTCCTCTAAGATTTGCCAGTATTTTACTCCATCCTGTTCTCAGTCCTCATTGAAGAGAAAAGGAACTACAGCATAATGCCACCGCCATCTTGACAGCGGGGATGGTGTTGACTGAGTGATGCTCTATGTTGGGTTTGTGCCAACTGTTCTGTTTTGGCAGCAATTGCAGATGCAAGTTTTTTTTTGCGTAAGTATCTACCTGGTTTGCACACTGGCTGGTTTCTGCCAAATCTTCTTTACAGATTTGTTCTCTCGGACGGCTCGTATGTTGTTTACGGTCAGCAGTTTTCAAGTCTTTCCACAGATTCTCAATGGGAACAACTTTGTTCGGAGCCCTCAAGGAGATTCACTTTCTCATTCTGAAGCCACTCCAGTGTAGCTTTGGCCCTGTGCTATAGACTGTCCTGTTCAAAGGTCAAGTTTCACCTCGGTTTGAAGTCTTTGGCGGTTTGAATCAGGTCTTCTTCGATTTCTTGGCAGTACGCTGCTCCATCCATGTTTCCTTCAATCCTGCCAAACTTCCCAGTCCCTGCTGAAAAGTATCCACACACTATGACGCTGCCACCACTATGCTTGATGGTGTTGACTGGGAGATGTGCTGTTGTTTGGGTCTTTTCCAAACTCAGCACTTGTCTTGCAGACCCAAATGTTCCAATTTGGTGTCATCTGACCCCAGCACCTTTTACCTCATTTTAGCAGGATCTCACTCAGCTGCTTTGTTTCACACTCCATCTCCATCTGAGCTTACAGATGGCTTATTTGTAGTAATAACTTCCTCCTTGCCAAAATACAGGCTGGTTTTCAAACTGCTCTTGACATTTTTTACTGATGCACATTTCCTCCACTCTTTGGAGCTCTTTCTAAGATGTTGACCTCACAGTGGCATCACTCACCAGCTTCGGCTTGGCCTGGCTGTTCAGTTTGGAGGGACAGACTGATCTAAGCAGTGCCTCTGTGGTGACATGCACGTAAACTGTGTGTCACAGGGCTATTCAAAGACTTCAGTATCTTTTGTATCCTGCTCCGAATTTATGCTTTTATGTGGCTTTATCCCTCACTTTGAAAGCTCCTTAATCTTCAAGTTTGAGTCTTTGATTGAAGTTCACTGCCCGACCTACGAACCTAACAGAGGTTCTGAAATAAATATTGATTCCGAAATAAATACACAAGGGGAAACATAATCCTAATTAAGTCTTGTAAATCTCACTTAAGCGCTTAAGAATTCATCTTCTTAAAAGAATCTTTGCAAACAGTTTGTCTGAGTTTACCAATTATAAATGGCCTATAAAGTAGCTAGAATATTCTAATGGGTCAATGCCCCTTTAAACAAAATTAGAACTGATTTAACTGAGACACTGTTTAATATCAGGACTTGACGCCACTCTTATAGCAGCAGCTCAGGCTCAATGCCACTAAAGTCTGATATATTTCTGCTTATTTTGAACAGTTACAGTATGTTTAATAATGTTACAGCTGCATCTAAAAGATCAGTCTGTTCAGACATTCAGTGAATGTATTCTTAATACATTAAGAGTTCCTTCTAAGTCAGTGTTGTTCAGGAACAAGTTAGTATCCATCTCATTCAAAGCCTTCAAGCCTGAATCTCAGACATTTCTATTTCTAAACCTTATTCCTCAATCTGCACCTCATTTAACACTCCTTCCTGACTACAGAGAGTGTGCCTTGGCGTCTTCATCCAGATAGACTGCTCTAGATAATATAGCCATGGAAGAGGCATCTGAATGGTGACTAAAAGGGGGACATTAAGGAAGAAGTGATTAAATATTCACCCTTCTCTTTGTCGAACGCGTAAAGCTTTTCAATGGAATACGGTTGTTTCCCTTCTTTCTACTTTAGGAACTGAAGCACCACAAAAAGATCCTGGGTTTGGTTTTTCTTCTTCTTTCTGGCATCGTTGCTGTTGTAATAAATACATTGCCGCTCTTTTTTCTTGCTATAGATAGTTCTTGAAATGGAGTTCCTTTCAGAACCACTTCTGCGCACGCACGTACACACACACACACATAAAATCAACAGCAAAAATGTAGGTTATGTGCACAACACTTTCCTTTTCTTGCACAACAGCCCTTCCTCTTTTATCTTTTTCACTGAAATCCCCTAGCTACATTCATGAGAACGAAGTCTTAATTTTCGCACCCTGAAGACGAAACCTTCAAGGCGGGCTTCGGTCATTAGTCTTCCTGACTTCAGAGCCCCTTTGTGAAAGCCAATTGCCAAAACAGGGAAGGCAGTGAGGCATGTTGCCTTGTGTCCTGGAGAACGTTGTGCCTAACGTACCACAACCCATCGCTAGGCAACAGAAAAACTCCAGTTTCACAATTCCAGAACTCCGCTTGCTCCTGAGAAAGAGCCTGGAATGGCAGAATGCCCTTTATTAAAAAACAATATTGGCTTTAAATTGAACTGTGTCTTTCAACTTACAGTATACAGTTTGGGCATTACTGTTGTGACATTAGATTATTCAGCAGCATTTTATACCACAGACAAGTTGACAGGAATAACCATACACAAAGGAGTCTTTTTTAACACATAAAATGATTTCTTGGATTGATATTCCACTACGACCTCTTCTCCGTCTTGCCATGGTCAGTCTTCCACTGTCCTGTAACTCTTAGAAAGTTAAGAAAATCATTTTAAAATAGTAAAGTAAAATCATCAATGTATTATTTTTTAACATTTATGATATTAAAGCTGGTACTTTTCCAGGTTCATCTCCATAAAAGCACAAGTATTAGAGTGCAGGTGTCATGTCTCAATACCAAAGTGATGGGGTTAGGGACAGTCACATAGTCTGTAGAACATGCAACACTACAGGATTTGATTATATTCAAGGCAAACTTGTACTTGCTCCTTGTATGGTAAGTTGTAATATATATACCCATTTGAATAACGGAGATTTTAAAAGTTACCTCAAAGTGTCGCTCCAGGAATGCGACTTGAATCTCCTCCTGAGTTTTTGGCTTCGTCAGATGGGGGCAGTGGCAGTACACATTGCTCTCTCTGATCAGGCCAGATAAAGGCATCCATTATTCACTGCTACTTGGAGGGCAGAGCGCCGTTAAAAGGCTGGAATGACCACAATGCAATTCAACACGTTCAGCCAAGTCGATAAACAAATGCACTAATTAGTTTAGCACAAATATTGAACGGAACTATTTTTTGCCAATAATCATAATTAATAACTTTTCCACTGACTGTTATCCTATGAAGGAAACTACTGTAGTTCTGATCTTAAAAGGCTTTGTTCCTTCGTTCCTCACCTGCTAAGAAACAGAACAGATTGAAGGCTGGCACTGAATGTTCCAGCTACTGCACAGAAAATGAGTACTATTTTGATAAGATCTCTTTCCACCACAAAAACAAAAAGGAACAAAAAACACGATGACAATCTTTGCTTCTCAGTACTTATTGTCACTGTATAATTCAATCTACAAATTCACAAGATCAGCAGAATATTATATTATCTATAATGTATACATTATGTTAGATATCATTAATGTAGAATGTTAAACATAAGAATTCAATTTTAAATTGTACAAAATGTTTCACTGAATTGCACAAATCCTTTTCAAACTTCCTCAAAAGACAGGAAGTCGAAGTAACTGACAAAAAGAAGCAGATCCTAGTATACTGTATCTCAGTCCTGTGTTACACGGTGTAACTCCATGCCTTCTTTTATAAATATTACACTGGTCAAGTTTGCCTAAGGGGAGAGAATTAAAGGTAAGACCTTTCATTAAATTTTGTTTCAATCTGACTCACTCTGCATTATATGGTTTGTAATGCAAATTAGTGTTAAGATTTCCGATCAAAGCACATTGTACAGTTTACTTTTAGAGTAAGCATGACGTAGTTTTTTTATTTGATATTTCTCTCCTCTTTACATGTTGTGGGGAAAATAGATGTTCTTTTAAATTTCTCTAAGAAATCTTTTTTTTTTTCAGACACAGTAGGTTTTATAGTAGCAAAGAGCTTCTTGGCTTCCCTTTTGACCTTGTGTAAAAATTAATTAAAAGTATTTGTACTCTTACACTGTGTCAAATATACCCAGAGGCATTAAAAATACAAGAGAATCTGCTACTAGTTTCAAAGTAGAGAATTTTAAGTGTCTCTTAATATTTAGAATAAAATCTTTACTATTTGAAAAGAATACTTGAATTGTGTCTGTACAGTATGTTTGTGCTTTGCCTCTGTTCAAATTGTTACATTTAGGCATGACATGTTTATTAAGAGAATATAGCTCATGGTTCTGTTTGTACTGTATTTCAAGGCCAACATTTGAATGGGATATATATATTCAAGGTATTTATTAAATAGCAGCAAAGACTAACCAAGACGTGAATCTGAAAGGCATATTGTTATGATCTGATTAAAGATCAGTGGCTAAGGGGGCTGTATATAATTTAACATTTGTTTAAGTTTTTGCCATGAACCATGAACAACTTGTATAAGATGATGTGTTTGAGTTAATAATTTATTATTTCTCCTGTACGATACACTGTAAAGGACGTGGAGCTGCAATGAACAATTTCAGTAAAGTAAGAGCTGTTTTTCAGTTAAGTGTGTGCGCAATAATGATTCATTATTTCAAATAATGAAAGAATAAGAAAAGAGGGGGTTTTGAACTCAGTGTGCATGCAAATTGCTCATGGTAGCTGAGTGTAAACCACTCAGAACCTGTTACAGGGGCAACTGTGTCTTCGAGACAATCTTTTGAAATCCCCGTTCTCTGGAGTCAAAGTCATATTAAGAAATTACAGAGAAAACAACAGCCTGTTATGTGGCATTGTTTACCTCATATTGTGCACTATGCATATTTAAAAAAAGAAAAACCCTGTTGATTTTGCAGTCTACTTACTGCTTCATGTACTCATGTAGCCCATTTCAAGCTACTGCTTTAAAGAAGGTGACAACACATTTGTGTTGTGAAAATAATTTCCCAGGATAAAGTATAGAGTTGCCAGTAAGCTGTGTTTCCTCAGTCACAGTAACAGCACTTGATGGTGTCAGAGAGGGATCGGCCCTGCTGCTTAGCCTGTCTTTGTGTTGGATATTGCTTGGAATGGTGTTAACATCTTTTCACGAAGAACATAAGAGACAACAGGAAATGTGCTGAGAAATGTGGCTGAGAAAGGAATATCTGAAGAAATGCTTTACCCGTCTTCTCATTTCCCTTCAGTCTTTTTTAGTAACTCAACTGCAGTATTGTTGGACTTTTGGCGTCCAGCTATTCAGGAGGTCTGGCCGGGTGTTACAAACCCATGATTGGTTTGTGTGGCTGAAGTATTAAAATGAAAATTCTTTATTTACCCTGGGCATCCTAACTCCTGATGAGATTCTGATTGCTGCAGCAAATTTTCTCTGTTCAGTTTGAGGAGACAGACATAGGCAGTCCTTATGATACCGGTATACTGGTAAAGTTGAGTAACCTCCAGGTTCATACAGTGCATACAATATAATGACTAGTCATTGCTGATTCTGTTGAAAGATGTTTATCCCACCTGCCTTGGCTCATCAGCACAAACTGCTTCATCAACACCCGGCACTGCCAGTGATACGTTTCTATGTCGTTCTCTTGAAGTACATTGGTAATCATAACTCTTCGAGCATAAGCGGTCTACTCCTACTGTTTAAGCTGTTTATACGCGTCAATCAAGAAGCCAAGAGCTGTCGGGTTAGCATGTGCTATAATCAGTCAGTTGGATTTGGAATTTTCTTAACCACACAAAATAACTACCAAGAACAATCCTTAAATATAATGCCTAATGCCATCATATCTTAAAAACAAACAAGAACTGTAGAGAATTACCCAATGCTATTCTGCCCTCACTCTGTGAAGATAATCAACAGAAGAAAGATGGTGATGCTGAGTGATGTGCACTATTCCTCTTTCGATAAGATATAGGCTGGTTCAAGTCACCATGACTCACATTGCAAAAAATACAAAGAGCAATAGATAAAGGATAAATGTACTGTGTTCAGAATCTGAGGACAATAATATTAATATACATACAGTACTTTATTTACCTAGAGAGATTTTATTTAATCTCTCTTCAACATGGCTGTCACATTATATGGTTTTGTTTTATTCTTTCTAGAAGTAAACTATTCAGGGTACACAAATTTCTGTTTTTAAAGTAGTGCTGTTTTTGCAGCGATAAGGCTATAGATGGGTGGTGCTTTCTCGTGTTATAAGTGTTAGTGAATTGCAGCACAGATAGAACTTGGGCTTAATAATAGAGACTTGTTTTTTTTTTTCTACTGAGTGTGAGTGGTTGTGATAAAGTTTTCAGCTACGGTCTATAAAAACAAGAAGTTTCACATACTGCTTATAGCACTTTTATTTTTGTTTCTAGTTCTCTAAAGAGGCCAAGCATTTAAAAAAAAGAGGAATTGTCCCTTTTTCCATGACATTTTGTGTGAGATTCTGAAATGATTTAAAAAAAAATCTTGCAACATGTTCTTCAGCCCTACTAATATTTTTAGATTTGTTTTTTAAATATGAAAGAATAGAAGCTCTTGAAACACCCTGATCTAAAATCAGTTTTAGCATGAAAGAAGCACTGGCTATACCAGGCTGCAATTAATTGAATAAGAGGGACTTTTTTTCAGAGCTTGGATAATAACCCATATTTAAAAAATAAATCACCTACCATAAGAGTGTTTTACCTTTGACACCAATAAGTATCAACATTTTAAAAATGCATCTATTTAACAAAAACATTGTGAATCACCCAGTGTTTTATCTTTGCCTGGAAAGTGTCAGCAAAAGCATTTGCTGTACATATTTGTTGAAATATATATATTATTAAGGATTCTTAAAAAATAGTTAGGCAAATCCATATTTTCTTCCTTATATTTTTTGGTTTAAGAGTAAAAACCTAAAGTTTCAAACCATTTAGTTTCATTTTTTTACATTTCAAGGATAATTAAGAACAATCCATTATTCTCTTTGATAATACCAGATATCTTTTTAACCTGTTTAAAAGAGGATTTCCTCTTTAAATACCTTAAACTCTGATTGAGAAGCAAAGCAAACTTGTTTGGATTCCCACTGTCCTCAGCTGAGTGTAGTTTCCAATGTACTATACTCTCGTTATTAAGTATGTGAGAAGAAATCCTAACTCTCTGTATGAAATGGGGAAGGTACAAAGTCTTACAGACTGGACTTATCTGCAGCTATGCTGATTCTCATTCCCTATTCATCTTCCATACAGGGGGTATACCCAACATTGACTCTGTCAGAAAGCAGAATGTCTAATGGGTCTGACATACTGTACAGTACAGCTGCAAGTCAAACACCCTCATATTAAAACGTAAGGGTGACATTTATTGAGCTGGGGTCTCTTTTAACAATATGAAGACATTTTGGTGTTGTGTTAACACTAATATGCTGCACATTCCTTAATATAGATGGTCCACAGTCCAAAGGTTTAAAAAACCTTTTTAAATGTAAACAATTTCAGACCACAATGCGCACAAAATATGACAGAAATATTTATTGTTCTTTTATTAATTTGGGGTAAACCAATTGAGAACGCTTGATGTTTATTCAAGGAGCTTGATGTAAGTTACGCATCAAGAACATAAAGAGCATTTTGAGAGTTATGGACTGAGTTCCAGACCCATTTTCTGTTCTTTATCATTTAGCTTCTGTTTCCATATCAGTTATCCAGACAGAAATAAAGTCAACTGTGCTAGACATCTGGGATGGCTGGTTTAAAAGAGAGCTTTAATAAACATCTATTCTATTTCACCCTAACATACAGGGTGAAAAGATATCAATTCTCAATTCTACAAATTGAGATTTTCAAAGGTTATGTGTCATTACAAACATGAGGCATGGAAAAATAAATGCCCATGGCAAGAAATTAGTCTGCCTGTAGCACATACTGCAGGTCATCTACATCTCTCAAAATATGAATGAAAATACTACAGTAAAAAAAAAGTAAAAACACAAATATGAAGAAACCAATTTTTTTTCAAAACAGATCTGTGAACATTCTCCTGTAAACAGCTAATGTGGGATAAGTGGCCATTACTTCCATAATTTACTGTGTGAATAAACAGCGTGAGCGGGGCATCCTCACAAAGAAAATCATCTTGGAGGAAAATCTCGGGTTTCTTGAGTCAAAACCAAAACAGATTCCTTTATTGTGGAGAACTGCTACTTGCGTCGCACACATTTTATACTAAAAAAGTAGTTGTTCAAGGTATTTATTAGAATGTCTGTGTAGGTACTGGGGGATCTTTGTGGTGTCGTGTCACATCTCCTTTTAATCTATGGCACAGGAGTAAGACTTCTCGACCAGAGCGTCTTTGCCAGGGGCATTTCATTTGCACTAGTGTGCCATGGAAGACTCACCACATATGATCAGCCCTTTTTCAATTACTTCCTATTTAAGTATTACTTTTTTTCTATGGACTATGACCAATTATGTGTATTTTCCACTTGGAAGAACACTAGACAAGGACAGTTTCTGTTACTGTAGAGACAGAGGTGGGAACCAAACCGGTGAGCTCAGATGTAAAAGATGCATTTCAATTGAAGCAAACAAAACATTTTCTCATTTAAAAACGGCATTCACAGGCACAAACAAACCTTCAGGGATTAGATCGGAACAAGCATTTTGTCTTTATGAATAACAATTAAGTTCTGTCAAGTCTTTCATCGCAGTTTCAGGGAGCCATCGGATTTCTATTGCAGACAAATCAAAAACATT